TCACTGTGTCTCAGTAATCCTGCGTGGGCACCTTCTGTGACTACAGCCCAGGTTTCGCCACAGACAGCACAGCCTTCCATGCACTGCTGATGAGAAATGACCACGGTAACTTCAACATCACGCTGTAGCTGTCACCATCCAAATGGTACAACTAAACATAAAGTATTTCAGATCTCTTCAAACAAGCACCACCCTATAAACAGACATGATTTTAAATAAAACGATTAATGTACAATTTAGATGTTTTAACTCTGCAATTTTGATTTCCCATCAATTTACTTATTCCAAAGTTAATTTATTACACTCAACAATACAAAACATTGCTTCAAGCGTTTGTTGTTTTTGTTTTGTTTTTTTTTTTTTTCCCAACTGCAGAAAGACAAGAAAACATGCAGCCATGCTCCAATATGCCTCCTGTCTCCTGAAACGATCACTCTAAATAACAAACCAGGCCTCCAGTCACTCTCATGGCCACTGGCACATCCACAATTTTTATCTCAATCTGTTGGAACACACACACCAGTATACTTACAGAAATACTCTGATAAACCTGACATTGCTATTACGTTGTAAGCAGCCTTACATAAACAACATGCTTTGGCATCCACAGATGGCAGGGTGGCTTCCCAGGTGCTGTGCCCAGGCAGCACACACTGCACAGGCATCTGAGACAGGGACCAGGCTCCTGCGGCAGAGACCAGTGACTTGCCTGAAGGCAACTGGAATACGAAACATGCTTTTGTAAATGCAGAAACTACACCACAGCAGGTGACACAGAAAACTGGGGTATGTAAAAAGCACAGGTGAAGCCTCCAATATGCTGTCAAAGGTGTTCTCTCAGTCAGTTTGGACGTATTCAGGAAGACTGTTCAATACTGCAGAAATTCTTGGAACCACAAGAACAGGAAGATGTAACTATTACTACACCATTGGAAAAAGTTCTCAAGGTTAGGAACCTCTGATTACAAATGAATTCTGGAAGAATCAACAAAATTGCATCTAAATTATAATGAGAATTATCTCAACTGGTTATGTTTTTATTTTTGCTGTTTTCTCTGGCAAGCTTTTTTTTTGCTTTTGCTTTCACATGCAGAAATTGCAGAAAAGTAATAGGAAAGAACTTCCTCCCCTCCACCATGGCACTGAGAGTGAAAAGAGGAGTCATCTAACTGCTTGCTCTTACACAAGTAATGTACAATACAAAAGTAAGAAAACCTTCTGTTCTTGTGAACATGTTCAGTCACTGTCAAAACTAACAACCCCGTCTTGCAAGCGGTTATACTCCAGACAAACCCTACACTTGTGTGAATCCTGTTGAAGGCAGCGATGCTGCAGGGATGGCAAGACTTTAACATACACCCAGTACAATGAGCTGCTGCACAAAGCCACATTTGAATCACTCCAGAAGGAAAACAAGCCCCATACATTAATATTACAGCTTCTGAAACCTATTCCCGCAAAGCACAAGTGACTGAATGCAATGAAAATCAGTGATGTGCCAAACAATATGTCTAGACGACACTTTCTCTGTGAAAAAGTTGCTTTTCGATAGCTGTTGCACATGAGCTGTGATGTTTCAAGAAGATCCTATTTCAAGAACAATCAAATGTTGAGCTACCATGAAAGACACGTCATGAGTGCTCTGTGGTCTGTAACGTGGAGCTCAGGGTAACAGCAGGGCTCACAGCTCAGAGAGGGGAGGAGTGTCCTGACCTTCACCACCTCCGAGCTGCTCAGCTGTACTCCATAACCAAGGCTTTCAGTGGAGAAAAAAACAGGGACAGAGAAGAATAGGGTGTATTTCATGCTCTTTGATTATAAAGTAAACTTCATAAACGACACATCTTTGTCATCTCCAAACACAATGCATCAGGAGCCTGCAGAGACCAGAACCAGGCCTAGTGGTTTCAACCAGGTGTTGACCCTCTTTTACCATGACAGCACATGTTCATCAATACCATTAACTAGTCCACAACTAGGCAACATGCAAGAAGAACTGCATAATACAACTGGAAGTAACAAAAGAATCACATAATACTTTCGGTTCGGAGGAGAGCTCTGGAGGTCACCCAGTCCAACCCCTCCACAGAGCAGGCTCACTCCAAAGATCAAAGCGATTAGTTCAGGACCTCACCTCATCATGAGGTTAAGAAGGAGGAAGAGCTGGGAAGCACAGAGCCTTACAGCGGCTTTGCACAGAAAACAGAGTACTGCAGAGCTCACTTGCTCATACTCTGAACATTCACCTTACCAGCTGAGTGCAGTGCGTTAACTCCCTTATACAAATAGAAATTATTTTTCAAATGTGAATCCTGGAAAAAAATGGCATTTCGCCATTAATGCAATACAGTCTGGCCTGCGTTAGTCCAAACTAAATTATGTCCAGCTGCATTATCTTGATACAAAACAGGAGGCAGAACCATTAAACTTGTGAAAACACATTTAACATGCACTTTTAAAAACCTGACCTTTTCACCAAGGACTAATATTCATTTTCATGATTTTAATAAACACTTCAAAGCAATACACAGGTCCTCAGCCTTCCGAAATGTGGGTTCATCTGCTTTTTTTTTTCCCCAAAAAAATAGTATTCACTGAAACCTTTGGACAAAGAAGGTGCTGATGGCTATCCTCAGAAGCAGCTTCCCACTTCAGGGTCTTCCAGTCTGAATAATTTCGGAGTACCTTCAAAAATCTGTAAATTTCCTTTTTCTAAATTTTGTCTCAAATCTCTTTGGAAATTGCAACCCGTTGGACTGCAAATGTAAGCACTAGTCTTTTCGTCTCAGGCAAGTGAAGACCAACAAACCCAGAAAAATTGGGTAAGTACATTCATGGCATTCATCTCCATCAGATGATAGCTCTGAAGCCTGAAATGTGAGAATTCAAATTCTGGCATTATTAGCCACATCAGTGATAACCGTATCAGGAACCATCTACTTAAAAGTACTTAATAGTATCACGACAATAAGGAATTCCAAGTGCATCAGAAGCAAAGCAGGTAACCATTACCAGGAACAAACGATAGAACATTCTGGCAGCGTTTTGGAGAGCCTCTACTTCCTTAAACCCCACGTGACAGCATATTTCATGGCCACTACAAGCTGAAATGAACTGTTACTTGGGTCCTACTCATGCTTTATAGACCCAAATGTTTCATCCTTTTTTGAAACTACAGTTGTCCTACAGCATTCTGATCGTGTTGCAGATCAGAAACAGACCAAATCTTTCCAAAGCATGAGCTGGACATACAGCGAGTCCCTCAAAACACCTGCTGATCTGAACAGGTGGTTGCCAGTTTTCTGTAAAGAGGAGAACAGGCACAGGTTATGTCAAACTACAAATATCAGATACTCTCATTTTTTCTATTCCCGTTGTACATTATAAATGTGACACTGCCAAAAGCAGTCTGAAAGGGCACAGAAGCTGTGGAATACATTTGGTTTGGGGAGGGAGGGGCTGTCAGGTAAAAAAAAAAAAAAAAAAGAAAAAAAAAAAGAGAAACAAAAAGAGAGAACCAAAACATCACTGTCCAACCAAAACCCGGTGGATATATGTAGACATGTAGTTATATCTTGACAAGTTATATTTCCAGTATTCAAATATAAGCTCAGACATATCCAGCTCTGTACATGGATTACACTTCCTATTCTGTAGAGAATCAACATTTACGTCCATACAACAAGGAAAAAAATGAATTTCATGATACTGCAGATGCATCTGAAATTTTCATTCTTCTCTGAAGGATCTGAGCAGCCAAGTGTCTATTTGAACAGCCTTTTGGAACTGATAATGCCTCTGCAACCAGAATCGACTTTTATGCACATCCACTGCACTTCATAAAATGCTACTGCTGTAACACACAACAGAGAGGAGGAAAATGCTATGGGGATGCACAGCAGCCAGAAGTTCCCCCTGGGAAAAGGGGATGGTTTTCTGTAAACAAGGCTCCAGAATGATTACAGGACGATTAAGGGATTTTGCTGCTGAGTGTCAAAACTCTGCCTTCAGCAGATGTTTCCACAGTACTACCGCACCATGAGTCACCTGGGACTGTTCTGGTTTCACCTCATCAAGAAAATGCTTCATTCATGCTCGATTAGGTGAATGGGGAGGGCAGCACTCAGCTGTGCTCAGAGGAGTGTCATGACCATGAGACACCCTTCCTAAGGATATTCCAGGTTCAGATTTCTGCCATGAGGTAGTACATGCAACATTCATTTTCTGTATTTTGGTCAGATTTTTTACAAGGCAACCTTGAACTCCGTAACCACGTTTTTACTGTTATTTTGTGATGTGCGGTAGGATTAATATTTCTGTAGGACAGCAACACCAATCAGAGCCACTTTTTAGGCAGAATTTGAGAGACAAAAACTGGTCAGACCAGGAGCAAGACCCGTGCTTTTGTAACCATCTTGCACCAGCAGGCTTGGGATTTTTTGGCTGGAGTACAAACAGCTAAACTTCACCGTGAGTGAAATTTTTCTGAATTATATTTAAAAAAAATAGTTTGAGCTCTGTGCCAAATTTATGGCAGTCTTGTGCTGGGATCTGCTGAGTGTAGAGAGAACCACACCTGCCTTCTGCAAGATCAGAGCTGGTGACCTGGGGTCCCAGCTCTGGGAAGATTAAGGCGCCAGATCCACAATTTTGCAGCACTGTTGCACTAAGATTTTCCTTCCCAGCACTCTTCTATGCCATAAAGAAGTGCTTCGCTCTTGGTGCAGTGCAATAGAATAAAAAAACCAAACACCACCACCTTACCTTCGCTCTTATTCTCGCAACATTTTGAAGCTTTGCTGCAAAAATAATAAAAACCAACAGTATCTAGGAACCCAGCTTTCACCCAGCCTGCTAGTAACCAGCGTGAGCCGCTTAGAAACGACAGGTACGAGCCGAGCCCTAAGGCGCAGGGAGGGGGGATTCTGCCAGCCCCACATTCTCCTCCCTTCCCTTTAAACCCCACCCCACCCCACCGCCAGGAAAGTCAGCCCCCTTACCTGATAATATCATCGTTGTGCCCGAGGAAGAATTTCTGGCTGTGCTCTCGGGTGTTGTAGACGACGCCGACTCCGGCCACGAAGTAAACCACCTCCTTGCCCGCGGTGTAGTACAGGTTGTTGCGGCACTGGTGGCCCCTGTACCCGTAGACCCACTCCAGACGGAGCTGGCATCTCGGAGCCGTCCGATCCGCCATGATAACCAATCCCCTCTCCCCACAAGCACGCACCAAACCCGGCGCTGCCCCTCCTTCCCTTAGCTCCTTCCCCCTTCAGGGGTTTTCCCCTTTCAAACGGTAGCGGGGTCCCTGCCCAGCCGCCGAAGCTTCAGGTGGCACTTCCGAGCGAGGATGGTCTGAGGAAAAACGCATCGGCGGATCAGGGCTGGCGCCGCTCCCCCCGCCGCGCCGCCACCATAATCTGCTGCTGCTGCTGCGGCGGCGACTGCCGAGTCCCCGCTGCTGCGCGACCCAGGCGGCTTCTTGGGGGAGAAGGGAGATGGCAGGAACACACCTACATAAGCAGCAGACAGGGCTTTGTCCTCCCCAAGGCAAAGTAACTTCTGTGCGTCAACACCACCACCACCTGCCAAAGGCTGCCCGCTGCATCCCCCCTCCTGCACCTCCTCGGCTTTCTGCAAAAAGCTTCCTGGGTGCTCTCCTGTTCCAGAGGTGGTCTGCCTTCGGGTCCAAACTGAAAGAGAGAGGAAAAAAAAAACCAACCAAAACAACCCACAAAACCAAAAAATGTCGGTTTGAATTGCAGAACGCACTGTATTTCAAATGCCAAGGGGTTGGGCGGCGGGGGCAGCGCGGTTTGGAGCCGTGCTGTGGCCGTTCTGCCTGCTCTGGGGTCTTCTCGCAGGATCCAACGCTCTGAGTCTCCCCAGGAGGTATTATCGAACGACAGGACTCCCGTGCAGCGCCCTGCATCGGTGTGGGAATATTACCCCACCTCTCCTTACCGCCCAGCAACACAAAACTTCCTCCTTTCAGAGCCTGCAGCAACTATGTAATTACCCCAGCTCCGTAATTACAACTACTGTGTTCCCATTTCTCACTCACAAACCGCTCCGATTCGACACCAAGTAGCGGGGGCTTGTGTTTTTATTTACCGTCGCCCTTTGGAACGATATTCCCAAGGAACACGTTTCCTTGCTCGCCTTCTGCGTTTCCTACAGCGAGGCTCTGTGTTGTCACCGCTGTGTCTGGTGAAACATCCACCGCTTCACCGAGCCCAGCCCCCCAGAGCCTCGGCCACCGCCAAGGGGACGCTGCGAGCAGAGGAGCAAAACCCGAGAGTCACTGTCAGAGCTCAGCGCCAGGGGCAAGGGGAGAATCACCCCCACGCCACGGGGCGAACGACTGTGCCTTTCCCACCGCACACGCGCGGTGGTACCGGGCCACAGGCGGGGGAACCCGCAAAAGCGGCACAACCCGCCCTCAGGGAACCACGCTCCTCGCTCTTGCAGCAAACCTGAGGGGAAAACCCGGCTCCACATCCAGAGCGACGGTCCCCGGAGGGAACCCCGGGCCGGCAGCCCCCCCCGCCCCGGAGCAGGTGGCCGGCGGACCAAGGGACGGCGCCTCCCTCA